CAGCCGTGATCGGCTGGGGCCACGGCTGATTAGAGCCCGGCCCGGGCCAGCGGTGAGCGGATGTTTGTGACCTGTTGAGCTCCCGGTGCCGGCAGCAGTGTGCCGAGCTGGGAGCAACGGGGCGAGGCCGCGGGCAGCAACGTGCCGAGCCCGCGGTGTTGCCGAGCAAGCGGTGGCCCCAAGCGGACGGTGGCTGCGAGCTGACGGCAGTGGCAACGGTGCCAGCCCCTCCGAAGAGGCGGAGGCATCGGTGCCGTTGGCGATGGCCCCCAGCGCCATGGGGCGTGGAGGTGAGCAGGGGGAGCCCGGGGACGCAGGATGTGGCGGGGCCCCGGGGAGCGGCACAGGCGGTGGTGGCGGGGTGGCACGGGCAGGGAGCCGGCAGAGGCAGGGAGCCGGCAGAGGCAGGGAGCCGGCACAGGCAGTTCAGGGACTACCTGGCCCTCGGGGAAGGGAGCAGTGCCGACAGCACCGGGGCACGGTGCCGCTTACCCTCCGGCCACTGAAGGCTGCTACCGAAGGCAGGGCTGGGACGGAGCTGCCGGGCAGCGCAGCACGGGCAGCACCCAGCAGCAGGGAGGGCTTGGCCGCTGAACCCTCCGGAGCCGGCTGCTGGGCAAACACGGCGCTCAGGGCCCCATGTGCCGGGGCAAAGCTGCCAGCGCCACGGGACAATGCCTGTTGCTGCTGCCAGCGCCACGGGGCATTGCCCGTTGCTCCTGCCAGCACCGCAGGTACAATGCTGCTGCCGGCACCACGGGCACGATGCCCCCATCAGCCTGCAAGAGCAACGCCCATGCTGCCTGCTGCTCGCTGCCCGCACCGCGGGGCAGTGCTTGCTGCCCCTGCTACCAGGACAGAGCCCGCTGGCCCTGCCAGCACCGCCGGGTCGATGCATAGGGCAGCTGCCTGCACCGACCCCTCCGGGTGAGGGCTGGGGGGTGCGGGGACCCCAGCACAGCCCCGGTGCCGCGGTGCAGGTGGTGTCACTCCCAGCCAGGCCCTGCACACTCACGCTCCCGTGACAGCAAATTACCTTCCCGTGGGAGTTGAGGATGCCCGAGCCACCGGGAAGTGCCGGGACCTGGTCTGAGTCACTCCCTGCCGCACGTGCCGTGGGGCGGAGGGATGTGCCGGGCTCCCCCCGCAGAGCAGAGCCAGGTGCCCAGCTGGGGCTGGTGAGGTGGGCGCCCTGCCCCACAGCCGTGCCCTGGAGTGGGGGAACCCCCGGGGGTCCTGCCCGGGGGACCCCCGTGGCGGGAGAGGGCACGGACCTGAGGCCCCACTGCCGGGCTGGGGACGCCACCGGCCAGCCTGGCCCCAAGCAGCTCCCTGTGCCGCGGCCGGCACCGCGGGACGGGATGGAGCTGGAGCAGCCACAGCCAAGACCACTGGTCCCGTGGGCGAGTGTGGGGCAGCCGCACAGCCAGGGGGAGCGCGGGACCCCTAGATGAGGGCACCCCAAGGCCCCACCATGCCAGCATCCCCAGTGACCCCCGTGTCCCCAGTGACCTGTGTCCCCACCATCCCGTGACCCCAGTGAACCCAGCATCCCCAGCAACCCCAGTGTCCTCAGTGACCCCACAATCCCCAGTGATCCCAGTGACCCCAGCATCCCCAGCATTCCCAGTGACCCCAGCATCCTCAGTGACCCCAGTGACCCCAGCATCCCCAGTGACCCCAGTGTCCCCAGTGACCCCAGTGTCCTCAGTGACCCCACAATCCCCAGTGACCCCAGCATCCCTAATGACCCCAGTGTCCCCAGTGACCCCAGTGATCCCAGTGACCTCAGTGACCCCAGTGACCCCAGTGTTCCCAGTGACCCCAGTGTCCTCAGTGACCCCACAATCCCCAGTGACCCCAGCATCCCTAATGACCCCAGTGTCCCCAGTGACCCCAGTGATCCCAGTGACCTCAGTGACCCCAGCGACC